AAAAACATTTTAAGCATGCGAGCCGTGAACAGGCTCAAATGAACTTGAAAAACTATTTCAAACATATTTTTGAACTAAATTTGTAAAAATGTCGAACTAAGAATAAAGATTAAACTTTTAAAACGATTGACCCTAATATAAATCTAAAATAATTTTAATAATAATATAAATTGCAATTAAAATTTGTTCATATGAACTAGCTCATTTGATCGATCGATGTAGTAATTAACATATTCATAGGACAGGGTATATGGAGCAGGACAGATTCCTAATTGACAGCAAAAATAACTGAGAGTAAAGCAGAGCCTTTGAGCTGAAGCAAGCGTTGAACAAGTTCCATGAAAAAGCTTATATCACCCAATTTGTGTAGGGTAGCTAAGCAATACAAAACAACAAAGGAAAACGAAAAGAAAGAATCAGAAAGCTGAACGTCGATCTCAGAGCTGAGAGCTGAGCAAAGTTGGATTTGGCGTCGTGAACTTTTGCTCTGTGCGCAAAGTTCAATGAGCCGCTCGCGCGGTCGCGTGGCCGCTCCGCTGGTTCCAGCTCCCCTATTTTTGTGTGTATATTTATTTATTTATTTATTTTTTACTTGGATACAAAATGCGACTGCGAGACAGGCAACCCCTAGCCAAATGTGTTTTGTGTGCGTTCATTTTCAGCTGCGGCGGCAGACAGAGAGAGCGAGACTCAAACGTAATCAAAGGGCAAAGATAGAGAGAGAGAGAGAGAGAGTGAGAGAGGGGGCAGAGGCTGTCTCTCTAAGCCCGTGCCCCTGGTGCCACGATCGCAGCAGATTCGTGGTGTTTGGTCGCGTAAATACACCTGCCACGCGTCAGCTCGTACTCGTACTCGGAGTTGGCGTTGGACCGAGCGTTTCGGGCGAGTCCTGTGCCTGCATTTAATTCAAATATTAACTACGAAAATGACTGCAGAGGGGCGTGGGGGAACAGGAACAAAAACAAAAAAAAATAAAAGAGCAACAACTACGCTTCGTTGCCGGGGCAACGCAGGGCGGGGGAATGCGTCAGACGCGGCGGACGAGCTAATAGCCAGGGCCAGCGGGGTTCAGCGGGGTTCAGCCGGCGGCAGGTCCTTACGGAAACTTGTTTCAATTAACATTCATTTTTGCATTTCAAGTTTCGTTGGAAAACCGCTCAATGCTCGCGCGCCCCAGTTTCAAGTCAGGATATGCCTGTCCTGCGACCATATGCCCCTCACTCTCTCCATCTCCCCCTCTCTCTTTCTAGCTCGCTCGCACGCAATTAACGCACGCGCCGCCCTGGTATCTGTTGCCTGGTCCGGTCCCGGAACTATGCATCATATCAAAATAATTATGCATTTAAATCTTCCAAGCGTTGCAAAAGGATATGGCGGGGGCGGGGGCCGGGTTGTTGTTGTTTGCGGCTGCCAGGGGCAACAACTTCCACACAGAGAGAGAGAGAGAGAGAGAGAGAGGGAGAGAGAGCGAAAGACTCTGGACACTGGAAAAACCCAAAACAAAAAAGCAAACACATGATCTTGAGCTCAGCTTTGGCTTAGATCAGTCGATCAGCTTGATAACTGATTTGAACGATCTTGTTGCACTATTTTTAACCCCCAATTTACAGCTCGACGAGCAGGTTACGAAAAAGACATGCAAAATAGCCCAGTATGCAGGTAGCGTAGCGATACGATCAGCGATCGGTCGAATGCAGCAACTTGATCTGGATTTGAGTTTAGCTCATATGTTAAGGATTTGACTTTTTGATTTTGCTGCATCCGTTTGATCTGCCGGCAAAATATAGGCTCACATATCGAACTGCGATCGGTTGAGTCAAAAGATCAGCGGAACCTTTGTTCGACTGAAGCGTAGATCCATTTATTGTGCTCTACACATATTTCTGATCAGCGATACTCTACGTTTACGTTTTGACCAAAAGCCAATCCTTTGGCTTGATCAACTGCATTAAGATCAGCTACGCATATGCCCTTAGCATAGTTGCGATCGTTCGATCTGTGGCACACACTGAAAGCCAGTTTTTAGATTATGACCGGGGCTGCTACTCGAACTCGATCAGCAGCATAGAACATACTTCTGAGGCACATGTATTTATACTTAATCTCTTTAGTAAATCTCTGTAGATGTTGATATCAACTAGAGATCTGAATATTTAGTCTTACGATCAGCGCTGCTCACAATAATAATTATGATCGAGCAGCAGCTTTTGCAGACTCTATGTCGAACACCATATTCCAATGTACTTTGTGCTGCATGTGATATTGCATATTAAATTGTAATCATTATGATCAGAAGACGCCTCTTGACATTTTGTGTGTTGCGATCGTTGCATGTAAAAACGCAATAAGCATACATAATTCCTATTATCAGGCCACAATCGCAGCCTATTCGGGCGATCAGTATATTTAATGAAATTTTGTCCATTGACCGAGATCTCGCAATGGGTCAGCTTTATCCATGGCACAAAATCCATATATGTTTAGAGCGTAAGCCGATCCTCTATCCAGATCGGTTCTTTTCAATTGAGTATTCGTTCACTCGATGGCGTTTGTCAATAGACTTTGACCATAAGCCGATCTGTGGACACGATCTGTTCTCTGCAATTGACGATCATTACGCAAATGCACTTCAACGAGTTGTCTCTCTCCGCATGCCGCATTTGGCAGAGTCTTTGCATAGAGGAAAATCAAACTACAATGGGTCATCAGGACGCATTCTACGGGTCAGACAAAAGGCGCACACAAAACCACACAACCCTATTTTGAACATTTCAACAGGAATATCATGCGTTTGCTGCAAATGTCAAAAGGTAGCGAAGAGCGAGAGTTGCATTTATCAAATCAATTTGAATAGCAATAGCGCATATGTCAAAGGACATGCGAAAAATGTCGATGCGAAGCATTTGCCGAGATGCGAACAATAAAAGTGTTAATGATGCCAAAAATAATGGAGTTGATTCTCTGACAGAGCTCCCTCCGCATTACAATGCATAAATACAAAAAAGAAGAAGAGAATGCAGCATGCAAACAAGAAAACAGGACGAGAAACGCTACGCAAATTGTCAAAGGATGCAAAAAGTAAACAGCGCCGGTCGGTCGAGTCGGTCGAGTCGGTCGGTCATGCCTGTCAAAAGGGTTTTTGTGTCAAGAGTTTTTGGCAAATGGAAAACGAGAAAAATCGATAGAAATGGGAAAATTGACACGGCTACCGTTTCGATCGATCGATGATGGTTCAGCACAAAATGTGGCCAAACACAACAATGGGAACGAGTTGAAAGAGTGAAAAACACAAAAAAAAAAAAAAAAAAAAGAAAACAATAAAACCGAATAAAACCAAATCGAAATGCAGCCAGCACCTGGCCATGGATCCGTACCAAAGAACGCACGATCAAACGATACAATATTTTCAGAGAGCGAGAGCGAGACAGCGAGAAAGAGAGAGAGAGAGGAAGAGAGGGAGAGTGTCAAACGGAAGTTTGCAGCATGCGTGGAAAAAGTTGTGATCTTGTTGATCGTTTAATTAGAGAGGCATATGTGAAATTGTTCGAACACCTAACCAAAGCCCGACTCTGCATAGCTAATAAGCACGACAATCCGTTCCGTTCCACTGAAGACTCTGGTGACACGCGCATGCCAAAGCGTTTGGGGGCGAGTTCCTCAGCTCCTCAACTCCACAGCTTGGCACCGCCTCAGTTCTTCGGTTCTTCAGCCAGTTCTTGGCGGCGCTAATGAATAGGGGCGTGTGCGTGAGCTGCACATGAAATGGGCTGCTAAAAAAAAATAATAAGAATAAAGACGACGATCGCGAGTTTTGCTAAGTTAATTAACACGGAAATCAAATTGCTGGCATGCCAACTCAGCCAGGCAGCCGGGCCAGCCAGCCAGTTCAGTTGAAAGCCATAAACGCACAGGGCAGGGCTGGGCAGAGCTGGGCTGGGCAGGACAGCTGCCAGCCAAAGGCTCAGACGCGAGCTACTGATCCTCGCCACTCAATCAGACGTTGACTAAGAAACTGTTCCCAGTCCGTACGGAATCAGAGCCGCAAGCAAAGCAGCTCGAGCCACTGATCAATCGGAAGAAAAACTCGCTCAAATACTAAAAAAAAAAGAAAAAAGCCTGATCTAAAGTTGGCTGATCAATGCGAAAAGACGCTCAAAATACGCTCAGCCGAGCTGGGCCTGTTGAATGAAAATAATTTGCGCAGCTTCGAGAAGAAGAAACACACAGCAGAGCCAAAGCAGTTGCAGCTACTGATCCTCGAGCTGCTGATCCTCCTATACTCGAATCAGATAAAAACATGCTCAACGTGCAGCAAGCCGAGTTTTGAGTGTGCCCGACAGAGCGCAGCTTGAGCCAACTGATCCTCGAACAACTGATCCTCGGGTATACAAATGTTCAGGCTGGATGGAGACACAGGCAGATCAGAAGCGAGCGCTGCACTCAAACGATACTCGCAATTAAAACTAAAGAAAACAACGCTGAGTGAACTTTTGCATGCCTCTTGAGCACAGCAAGAGGCAGCTGATCCTCGCAAAATATGCACTGCTGCATTCAGAAAAATAAAATACACTCAAGATAGGCCCTGAGTGAAGTTCATTTAGTTCGTTTTTTTTTTTTCTTTTTGCCTGAGTGGGAACAGTTGAGATTGACGGCTTATCAGGCGCAGGCTAGGCAGGAGCGCGATCAGGCAGCCCGACAGCGATCGAGCTCGAGAGAGCCGCTCTTGCTCTCTCCCTTTCGATCTCTCTCGCTCTCACTACCTGTAGCTCAAGAGTTGCAGCACGCGTGTGACTCAATTGCCAGGTGGTTGGTTTGCCGTCGCTCTGACCTGCGCGCACACAGGCACAGGTAAGCGCATGAGCGCAAGCCGCCAGCGCGAGAGTGGGAGAGCGAGAGAGTGGGCGAGAGCGACGCTCGCTGAGAGCGCACGAGTGAGTCGCATGCGAAAGGTACAAAACATGAAGGTTTAGGACGAAGGGACTCATTCTTGTGCAAGGTGTCAAACGATCAAGTTGAACTTCGAAAAAAAAATAACCAAAATAATAATAATAATAATCGAATTTGTACTTCAAACAAACTTTTGCGTTGCCAAAACAACAAGTTAAATCAAACTAATATTATTTTTTTTTCGAACGTGTGTGTGCGAGACAGAGAGAAAAAGAGAGAGAGACAGAGAGATATACAATGTCAAGTGTGGTGTTCAATGCAAGCGCCGTCGGCAAAAACGCCGCCGAACTATTTCCCACAACAATCGGCGGTGCGAGCAAAATGTATCGCTATCAGCATATAATGCCCGCACCCGAGCTGAAGACGGGCTCCAGCTCCAGCTCCGGCGGCGCCTCACTGATCAAGACGCGCAAATATACGCCGCGTGGCATGGCGCTGGCCAATGCCTCGAGCGGCAGCAGCAGCAGCAGTAGCAGCAGCTCCTGCTGCTCCACTAGCTCGCCGTACAACGTGGACCAGTCACAGTCGGTGCAACGGCGCAATGCCCGGGAACGTAATCGTGTCAAGCAGGTGAACAATAGCTTTGCCCGACTGCGCCAGCATATACCGCAATCGATAATTGCGGATCTGACCAAGGGCGGCGGCCGTGGGCCGCACAAGAAAATCTCCAAGGTGGACACGCTGCGCATCGCTGTCGAGTATATACGGCGGCTGCAGGATCTGGTCGATGATCTCAATGGCGGACCGAGCAGCAACAGCACCGGCAGCTGCAATATGGCACAGCTGAATCTGTGCCTGGACGAGGAGACATGCAGCAACAGCTCCTCCATATCGAGCAGCAGCTCCAGCTTGGGCAGCCAGCAGCTTAACCATAATCTCTACTATAGCAGCTCGCTGCTAACTGCAGCTGCCACGCCCACAGCGCTGCAGCAGCAACAGCAATTGCAGCGACAACAGTTTCCACATCAGCCGCTGACGCCCATCACGCTCAATGGCAACACGCTGCCGACAGCAGCAACAACAACAACAGCAGCAACAGCAGCAGCAGCGACAACAACAACAACAACAACTGGTGGCTGCCATTCGCCAACATCGTCGTTCAATTCGAGCATGTCCTTTGACTCGGGCACATATGAGGCACAGCCACAGCAGCTATCGCCGCCCGTGGCGCCCATGGATGCCCAGCTGCAGTTGAAGTTCGAGCCGTACGAACATTTCCAATTGGACGAGGAGGACTGCACGCCCGACGATGAGGAAATCCTCGACTATATATCGCTGTGGCAGGAGCAGTAAGGCCCCCCAAAAAAACACATAAAAAAAAAACAAACATCAATCATAATTCCTGCTGTTTGCTTTCTAGTCAAAATATTTTGAGTTGAACCAAGTGCCTCAAATTGTAAATAGACTCAGTTTCTAGCCTTAAAACAATTTTTTTTTTGCACTCTAAATATTAATTAAATATTTTTAAAAATTATTTTAATACTTTTTTTTTGTCTAAGAATTTATTATTTTTTTTTTTTGCATAATTTAAGTGAATTTTTTTTTTTAGTTTAAGTTGAACTTGAGACCAGTTTATAATATATAAAAAATATTATTTTAAGCAAATAATTTTTTTTTCTATTATTGCTAATTATTAAATGTTAATTAGTTGTTGTAAATGAAATAAAAGACAATTATTAAGCAAACACGGCAAGATTCTTATGAAGAGGCGAGCTATTTTTTCAGACGCAAGGTGGCAAGGCGAGTTGCCGCAAAGATGCGGGCTGCCTGATGTTGGGGCCAGTGTTGTCGAACTGCGCTCCACAGATTGACTATAAGTGCCAGCTGGCCGGCAGGATGTGCGGGCCAACAGAGAAGCCGTTAATATTCTAAAATCAAACACGGGCCGGGATTAGCGCACGGGCCCAAGACCAAAGAGGCAAGCTCTTAACCCCTTTTTCTCTTTCTTACTTGGGCTAATCAACCGACACATCAACACGCGCCTCATCAACAGGTAGCTCGGGATTAGCGTAGAAGTAGAAGTAAAAGCCCCTAAATGAGATGAGAAAAAAAACCCCCGTCTTGGCGCGTGGTTGAAAACCAAAAAAAAAGAATTCAAACACCACATAAAAACTAATAAATACAAAAAATGAAAGAAAAAAGCGCGCAGGTAGGTTCCAGGTTCAGAGGCCACAAGCTGATAAGTAAAATGACGCTCTTGACGCGTGCTCAAAGCACAGGCGAGCGAAAGAGACAGAGATATATATATATATATCTATAGAGCAGGAGAGCCAGGCGAGCGAAAGAGAAAGAGATCCAGGCTTATATATATACTTATATTTAATATATATATATATAGGGTCTCCTTCCCAGGGTAGGGCGTGCCAGTACTGGGAACTCGCTTATCGCTAAGCAATTCAAATAAATATTTAAGATATGCTATTTCAATTGAATTCGAACATTTCGCAAAGCCGGAAATAGGCGGCGGACTACTTAACAGAACGGAAGGCAATCGCATCTGTAACGAGCCAGCAATCAGAAAGAGTACAAAATTTGAATATCTAAAATTGTTGCCAAAACGCAATTGAAATAAAAAATATGTATCAAATATTTCTTCAGTTGTTTCGAATTTGTTGCAAATTGAAAAACTTGTTGACAGATTTCATATAGAAATTTTCAAATTATGAAAACTCAGTTAATCAACACTAACTTTAATATAAGCTGCGCTCGAATTCTTTCTTTTTTTTTTTTTTTTGTATATAAATCTTTTCTCAGGTCAAGAGTCAATAATCTTTAAAAGTATGAGACTCGCATTTCTTATGCAATAAAAGAAATTGTGTAGAAATTTATTATTTTATGCTGAAGCCCCAATTCTCGTTTCTCTAACATGGCAATAAAACAATATTTAGGCAGAGTTTAGATCGAAGTTGCTTGAATTGAGCAAGAAATTTACACTTTAAGAAAAATGTACATTTAAATATATATAATAATACGACTTAAGAAAAGTGTTAAGTGCAAGCAATATTCCTATATAGTTCATATTTCCTACAATTAATTTATATTTATTTAATTGATATCTAAGCCAGATATTTTATATATTTTATATATGTTTAAACTATATATACTGTATTATTATTATTATATAAATTCCTAAAAACACAGTTCATTTAAAGCTGGGAACGCAGACCTTTGGATTTTGAGTGAATCTAAATCCTTTTTTTTTTTCTTTTTTATATTAAAAAGAGTCTGGATTGTCCGCTCCCACGCCCCGAAAACAGAGCAAACCGAACAATAAATCACTTTTGCATTACAAAACAAAACAAAATATAAAGAAAGACAAACTCACTCTTTGGACTATATTTTGACACATTAAAGAGCAACAGAACAATGCAGGATATCTCTAAGGACCCTTTGTCACCTTTGGCCCTATAAGAAAAACTGGCTCTGGGTCTGTGTGTCTCCATTCGGGCCCAAAGTGGGAATGAAAAGTGCAAGGGCATGGAGTTTTCTCTGCTCTGCTCAACCATTCCATATTATTATTATTATTATCATTTCAGTCTATTCTTTCAATGTCAACGCTCTGACACTTGACAACTCAATGCAATTGTCCTCGACAGAGAGTGTGGGGCTGCGGGAGGTTAAAGGTTAGAGGGGGGCTTGATATTCGAATAGTAGGCAAGGCTTATGAAAGGGCATTGAAAACGACAGCGCCGGAAGAACTTTCACCTTTGTTTCTTGTCCTTTTATGGCGGAGCATAAGAAATGAGCATTTGATAAACAGCAACTGTCAAGTTGCGCTGGAGAAGGGGGGAATGGAGTTCGGGCAGCTGGTTTTCTCATAACTACTTCTTCTTCTTCTTCATCTTCTTTGTTGTTGTTATGAACTTAATTCGAAATGCTGTTTAATAGATTTTTTGGCGCGCCACACAGTCAACTTTGTGGCCAAAGACGAAGACGCAGACGCAGACGAAGAAACGCGCCGCCGTCGCATCAATCAGACCAAGAAATTTGTACAAATTATAGGCTCAGGCTCTCGACTATGCTAAGGATCCACAGATTGATGGCACGATTCACGGTCAGATGTGGCGCGGGTGTGCGCGGCGTTGTGGGGGTGCCGAGCCGCGCATGTGGCCCATAATTCAGCTCTTTAAGAAGTTGTTACTTTAAACATTTATTTTTACACCTAAGGCGCGATGCGAACGCCGCGATAGCCGAAAAAACAAAACCAAACATATATTAAACCACAAGAAGTTGCACCGAACACTAAATACCCTAACTGCAATCAACCGATTGTTCCTATATCTGCTGTAAGATATATAAGAGAAGCCCAATAATTAATAAAATAGAAAACACAACAGAAATGTTGTTGGAAATGTTAGTATACAAATATATATATATATTTGATAAATTGTTAGCATATTCTAGAGAAGCAACAACAATTTCAAAAGTCAAGACAAAGACTGAGAACAATAAAACCGAATTTCGATAAATAATTCTCTGGGAAACTGTATCAAACCAAAGCAAGGCATGCTAAAAGTTGGCCTGATTATATGATATAGGGATTTGATTATTCCTGATATAGGTATTCGATGTTGACAAGATTGTGCATATATCAAGTGAAATAAATGCAGCTAAGTATATGATATAGTGGTTCGATCTGGCCAGTTCCAATATGTGATGTTGGCTTTTCAACGGAGAGACTAGTTCGCATAGAAAAGAACGGACGCCCATGGCCACATCAGCTCGGCTGCAGATCTAGTACTATATTTGATTTCTGAGCTGCGTTACATTTCTCATGCTTGACAGGCAATGTCCGGAGAGAGAGAGGGCATCAAGCCCCAACTTAAACTCTCATTGAAAACCCTTCGTTCAAAAAGGAGGTTTATTTGAATTTCAATAAGGCACCGGGGCAGACCAAGCGGCAAAGGGGGGCCGCTGTGTGGGCGTGGTGTCTCGAGTTCATTATCCTGTTATGTGCATAGGGCGGCATTTTTGGCTTTCATCTCAAACACATACTCAAACAACACACACACACACACACACACACACACGCTCAACATTTGAAACGGGGCGTTATTAATTAGCGTTATGAATTATGGATGTGGACTCCATCGGGCATCGATTCGCTCCCCTCCCCTAACCCATCTCTCTGGCAGTCCCCTTAGCCACGGCTAATTTTGATAGTCGCAACTATTTGCACTTGCGACAAGGCCTCACAAAAATTCTGATATCTTCATTGTCCACAGCAGAGGATGCATAAATCCCAAACGAACTGCGCGTACATCATCATGCACCAGACTTTCGTTCAATGTGTAGGCAGAGAGGGAAGGGCGAGTCCAAAGGAGAATCTGATGCAGCAAAATATGTTCCAATTAGCGAATACTCTGACAGCTTCGAGCGTGCGGGACAGAGACACACACGAGCACGGACAAAAGTCTCTCCAGCAAGTTGTCAAGCCAAGAGATGGAGACAGGGGGTGGGCGGAGTGCTGCCGGTTAGCCAGGCAAAAGTTATTCGACTTGTCATATTAGGTTGTGATAAATGTAGTTACATACCCAATGTGATAACTTTGCCCGCTGTCGCCGGCGCTTAGGTAAGGTCCAGCGCCGAGAACCTAACGCCAGCACCCAGCCTCGGGCTCAGCCTCAGGCTCAGGCTCGGGCTCATCGCTCGCATCAAGACGCTGATGATGATGATGATGATGATGATCATCCGCCGTTGCAGTCGCGGCAAATTTTGCCGGCTTTTGGGAATCATTCAAAACGCTTTTATGACATTCGGGAAATTCCTAGAGCCTGGCATTCGATATATTCTTTTTGTAGTTTTTGGGTTTTACAACCGACGACTCTGACCCTGACTTTACAATGGAGGCCTCCTCGCCGCCTGCCTTGTCCTTTTGCATGCCAGAAAATCCCGCACTGATCCTCGCCCGCTCTTGCACCTAGCTACCTGTCTGCGCTGACCTGACGTGTTTTACACCTGCCCGCGGGGCTGGCTAGGCTGGCACATAAAAGGGTTCAAACTTCTGAACGCTACCTGTCCGAATTACTGGACCTATTAGCTTCTAATCTGGACAATTGGCACGAGCTCTCACGAGATCTATTGAGGTGCCCATAAGCATAAAAGCTGAAAGTTCCCTTTTTTTTTAAGGCAAACCCAATGCAGGGTTTTTCATGTTCGCAAAAGAGGAAATCACAAGCGTTATATTTGTCAAGGGACAGGTGAAAATACAAGAGAAAATCATACCATAAAGAAGCATAATCCTTGTCTCTTGTCCTAACGACAAACGTGGACTTCTAAACAAGCCTGCAAGCTATTTATGAACTGTCCGAGTTCGAACTAGGTTTATGCTAATTCTATTTCTACTTTGAACTGAACCAGTTTCTTTTAGAATACTTGTCTGATCTTTATGAAATATATGCCATACCAAAGTCCAAGATAAATAGAATATGTGCAC